GAATCCATTCTGTCTGTCACTGGTCTAATAATACTATCCTTGGGACGATCTGATCCAGCCTGACTCCTTTCCCTGTGCTTTACTCCAATTAGGTCACCTTGTCTTGAGCAACTTCTAGGATTATAAATGTCTATGCAGCTTCAAACCCCTGTGAGATATCTAGGCCAGGAAGGATCATTCAGTACCTCAGCAAGTCCACAACCATCAGGAATTGGCAAGGCTATGCACAGGGTATGTGTGAACATTACAGTGTGGGTCATGAGATGTCGAAGCTTTCATTTCATAATTTTGTAGGGGTGTGAAGTGAGTATTTGCGGGTCAGGACAGAATTAGAAGATTGCAAAGAATATCCCTGGCAGATAAAAGTTGGGTTGTCTGGCTTTTTTTTTTTTTTAATAGCTTCTCAAATTACATTGCAGGTTTTTCTGGCGTTCATTCTGGCAGGTTTTCCTTCAGATACTGGCAACTAAAATGTGCTCCATTTTATTACAAAGAAAGCAGAGGATAATAATTTTGGGTTTTGTGAAATTTAGATGCACACTATAAGAAGTTGTAGCCTTCATGATAATTTCAGTGAAATACTTCGGCTGTCGGAGTTCTCAATAGCCTTGTTCCTCACTCCCCTGCCAGTGGTAAATTTAAAGTACTGATAGACACAGAAAGATAGAGCTTAATCTTCTCCATTCTCTTCACATTGAAGGCTCTCTTGGGTCCACTACTGAAAGAAGGTACTTGCATAAGTACCAGCATCATTCTGTCAAAGATTCCAGGTATGACTGTTGGTATGTCAGAAAATCCACTATTTGGTGTGGGTTTTTTCATGCTTGAATTTTTTTCAGGTAATTTTTTCACTTCAAAAAACAGTGGTAGATTAAAAAAAAATCAAGCAAGATGCTGGATGGACCGACTTGACACATGCAAAAATAATTTCTTGTTTCTGCTTTTGACAGCTGCAGTCTGAATGTCTTAATCTGAACTAATAACCCTTTTCAAGAGTATGCTTTTTGGATTTTATTGAGACCTCAGAAAATTACCATAATGTGTTTATGCAAAAAACCCTCATGAACTCCTGAATACAGCATCCAAGTATCCTTCTAAACATATCTCACTTCCTCAGCTCTTAAGATGCTCTTGCTTGTAACGAACATTTACAGCAGTATTCTGTAAGCTACAATAACCCTTAGGATGGTATTCAATTTCTAGATTTTAATAAGTAAAATCCATGTTGGGGTTTGGGCATGATAACCCACAGATCAGCTTTACCTTCTCAACAGAGAACCTCTACATTTATACACTTAATAGTAAACTAAAACACAGTGTAGGTATAACATGGCAGCATGCCATGCTATACGTGCGCTCATATTTGTTCAACTTGTTTGCTTGATAACCATGAGGTGAAACCATGACAATAATTATGTGTAAACTGGTCACTGGAGGACAAGGGTACTTACTGGGGCAAGTGTCCTGGAAAGATGTCTACCATTTCAGGAGAGGTTCAGCTCTCCTGTAATCAGACCTCCCCACAGACTCAAACCATGCTTGACTCCGCAATCTAGTTTTTTAATTCCTCTCTTACTTGCAATCACTATATTTTGGTGGGATCTTTCAGCTCCTGACCAAGTATGTTACAAGCTTCCCCTGTTTAGCTAAGATTTTGATAAGGTAATGTGGGAGTAACTTCATCGTTAGCTCTAATTTCAGAATACATATATATATGTATATATTTTTTAATTATACTTGCTGTTAATGCATTATTGGCAGCCACAGTATAGAGAGAAAAAAATAAAAGTCCTAGCTAAATACCCAGAATACTAGTTTCTAGCAAACTGCCAAGATATGACTGTGAAGATAGATCTGTCAGGTACTAACACACACAAAAAAAAAACAACACCCAAAAAAACCCCAATTGTGGGACACCTTCACTAACTGAGCAGGCTAAAGAACTGAGACATAAAGCCTATCATATGAGAAGCAGCTGAAGGAACTGGGGTTGTTCAGCTTGGAGAAAAGGAGGCTGAGGGGAGACCTTATTGCTCCCTACAACTACCTGAAAGGAGGTGGTAGACGGGGGGGGTTGGTCTCTTCTCCCAAGTAACAGGCAATAGGACAAGAGGAAATGGCCTAAAGTTGTGCCAGGGGAGCTTTAGATTGGATATTATGAAAAATATTTTCACCAAAAGGGTTATAAAACATTGGAACAGGCTGCCCAGGGAAGTGGCTATGTCTCCATCCCTGGAGGTATTTAAAAAAATGTGTACATGTGGTGCTGAGGGATATGGTTTAGTGGTAACTTGACAGCATTAAGTTAATGGTTGGACTTGATGATCTTAAAGGTCCGTTCCAACCAAAACAATTTTGTGATTCTATGATTCTATAAACTGACATCTAGCCTATTGGGCAGGACAGTACTCCTCCTGGTGCTGAGCTAGGCCCTGTGTGACAAGTTACAGAGCGTTAATCCTTCAAGAAGTGGCAAGTGGTACACGTATATGCTACCTGTTTGTAGCAGATACTCAGAACTGCAGCATATGCACTCCCCACTTGTGTGCACGCATCGTTAAACTAACTGCTAAAACTGTCATCTCACCTCCTTTAAGATATCACGTACTACCACCCTCACTGCAGTCTTTCCATGACTTACAGGGGAAATTGTCCTGCTGTTTCTTCCAGCAAAAGATTGTACCCTTATACTTCTTTGCACCCTATTCTGCTGGGTTAAGGGAAAGATGACTGGTTAGCACATCAACAAGCTATGTAATGGGTTTAGGCATCGTAATTGAGGAGTAATTGCTCTAAGAAATTCTGGCAAAGTAGAAATCAGGTAGAGTACCCAAGAAATAGCTTGAAATAAAAAAAAAAAAAAAATCTATATAGCTATGCCTATATCTAACACCTACACTTAAAAAAAAGCCCCTGCTATATATAGCAAATGCTAACACAAACCAAGAAACATACATATGAGAAGAGAACAATAAATACCCTGCTTTGGTAGTTACTGAATGCTTACAAGCAAACAGAGTTTCATAAAGCTTTGAGACTGAAATTTCCCTGCTCCCTATTTTCCTCCTTGAAAATAAATCACTGTGTCTGAACATTGGAATTGTGGTCTATTGTGAGCTGAGCTGAAATTATGTAGTGGATTCAGCACATCCTGGAAACGCAGAAAGCTCCTGCTATCTTTGTGAGCTAGTTGAAAAGTGAAAACAGATTAGAAAAATAAGTTCTTCAATAGGCAGCAACATTGCTTTCACACCAGATTTGATGAATAAGTCCTCCCAGCGGCACTAACACCTGATACGCACATTGCATGGATTAGCAAGTTTTAGTACAGGCAGAAGAAAAAACATTTTTTTTTCCCTTCCAGTAACTGCTGCAGGTATATTATCTAATGAAAACACAACAAGATTTCTCTAAGGAATGTGAAATTCGTTTGGTGTTTCCATCAAACAATTATATGTTGTTCATCCACTATCTGAGAAGCACTGAGGCATATCCAGACTTGATTACATTTATTCTTAGCTCCAGATCAGACTATCCCACTAGGGTGGCAAGCAGTTTCTCATCTCTGCCTTACCAGATCCCTGATGCAGGCAGACACAAAAGCACGGTTTCTAATAACAATACAGCCACATTTGCTTAATATCTTGATCATCCTAAATCAGAATGTCTTTGATCATTAATGGAGCCTTTCGGAGTGTTTCGAATTAAAGGATAAATTTTCAAAGACGTGTAACAGGGATTTGCTGGCTGTCTTCTATTAAGACCAGTGGGAGGTAAACAGCTCAATCCCCATACACTGCTCTGAAATGTACCATTTTAAATACAGTTTTTTCAAAAAGCATGAGACTTTTCAATAATCAAGAAGCTTCTAAGAAAAACAGTATTGTTTCCAGTGATGTATCTGTCAGCTAATGCTACTTCCAGGAAAACATTAGGCATGCAGAAAACAGAACAGTTCAAAGACTTTCACAGGAGAAGAATACGGAGTACTCCTATAAGTTGTGCCCCTTGAGCTGCAAAGTGTGGTTTTTTACGTGCTGCTGCGTGTGCCAGACCTCCCCCTCTATATACAGAACAGGACACAGGGCTAAGTGAAGACTGGTCTTGCAACAAACAGCACTTTTGCATACCAGTGTTCACTGAAGACTCAACTTATAGAGATTATTAGCAGGAGGTACACCCAAAAATATCACTTCAGCACAAAAAAAGACTCAGATGAGCATGAAGATTAACAGGGACTAGAGTCATATTGTGAGAAAGACGTCAAGTGACACCTGGTGAACGCAATGAAGGTTAATATCCAATGTATTCATTGCAAATGAGGAGGGAAACAGAATCTTTCCCCAATTGTCTGCAAATTTTGTTCATACGTGCTAAGTGCACAATGTGGTCCCTAGCAGTTCTGAAAAACATGGCAGTTTATGTAAGTGCACAAGGGAAATCAAAATCTCAATTGCTTTTTGGAAATGCAGTGAACTACACATTCGTCTCCCTCATGATTTTTATCATTAATAATGTAATCTCACAAACTAAATATCAGAAGGTGTAAACAAGTGGTTAGAACAGATTCTTGAGAGCTATTCTTCCCATTACAGAAGGATTTTTCTATTCAGCAAGGAATTTTTACAAGTTATCTCTGAGAGACAGATAAGGATATATGGAATTCCCTTTCTCATAACCTTTATTAAATACATCTTTCTTATTTAATTAAAAGACTTTGTAAGATTACTTTTGATTCATTTGGTCAAATGACAAAGAGTAATTAGAACAACCAAGTTTTGGAAGCCCATTAGAAAATAATCCATCTCAGCAGCAAAAGTAACAAACATGAACTGAATATTAAGACGTTATCTCCTCAAGGTCGAAAGAAGTAGTTCAAGAGGTTCTAACTCTCTCATTTAAAAAAAAAAATCCCAAACCCACAAAACCAAACCAAATAAACACAAAACAAAAAGCACAAAAACAAACCAGAAAGAACAGGTATCAGAGAAAGTACTTACCACAATGTCTTCAGGAAAAGTATCCAGACTGAAAGAGCCATCATCAAACATTACTTCATAGAAAAGTTGAGATGTAACTCCTATGACTCTGCAACTGTAGTATCGTGTATTTCTATGTTTGGCTATGACCGTCTGCCCAACTGTAATGGCTTTCTCACGTGCTTTAGCTCTCTGGAGAAAAAGGAAGAATTTAAAAGAAAAAGTCTTTTTAAAATACCATCTTACTCGTCAGAAATTTATCAGTGTCAAAACAGAACTGATAGCAGTTCACCATTCAATATAAAAACTTCAAATGCAAAATCATTCCTTCCAATCGTGATCACACAAATTTGTTTTATATACAAAGTGTCTGCATTTTAGGAGAAAATGGCATGTGAAGAATAACAAATCACTCTAAAATATTTTTGCAACTGGATGTCTTCTAACTATTCTGCATTAGATGAAAACACATAAATAGCAATATTTGTAAATTTTATTTGTAAAATAATTTGTAGAATTTGCTTGAAGAGATAGGATGTGATGAACCCAGACTATGGTCTTGAATTGTTTTAAATGATGGGATTTTTAAGTACCGAATTTCAGTATGATTCTACATAATTGCTTAATATTTTGCTGAATGGGATGCAATAACTAGATGCATAGCCAATTCTTGTCAGAGTTGTCTACAGCAGTGTATCTGAGTAACTTCTTAATCCATACTGTGCAGAAATTTTGTATTAAAACTTCAGACAGCATTGATTACTCTTTATCAGTTATTTATGTAGTAAATCAGTAACAATATTTTTTTTCCATTTCTCACTTTTAATTCCCCAAAGTTACTTATGTCAATCAGAAGAGTAGCAGAGTTGTTGAACTATACAAAAAACCTACATCAATAACTGCTTGATGGATTCTATAAACACAAAAAAGAATGGAACCTTGTAAGTGAGCAAATGCTCAGATGCTCAGGTGATGCAGACAGCTGTTAAATATCAACTCCCCACTAATTTATCCCCATGAACCTTCCGCTTAAGAAGGATCCTTCTTCACCAGGAAAAATAAAGTCAAGGGTTTCTCATTCTAATAACACAAGGAAGGCACTTTTTTCTTACGATCCGGACTGTCTATTCATTACCCCACAAAGCTCCATTTGTTTATGCATAAGTGAGTTATTATGACTTTCGCTATATCTGAACAGTTGAACTTTTCTTATAATGGAAGATGCTACTACGTAGGGCAACTACACTGGTATGTACTAAGCATAATATTTTTTTTATTCTTAGAAATGTTTAGATAAACAGCATGAAAATACTTTATTACATAAGCTAAAGTAATTACTCAGTTTCCTAGTACTGCTTTTCAAACCTCCAAAGGCAGTGAATTCTTCAATCAGTATAATAATCTTAAAAGGTGCCTGTGACAATCTAGAAAATGCTACAGCTGAAGAATTTTTAGCACTAGTATCAAAGGGAGAACCAAGGACAACATCAGTTCTTTTTGTTAGGCTCCAAGCATTAATAGGAATGTCAGTGCTTTTGGGGAAGAGGAAAAATTCATCCTAAACTTGAACAATTCTGTTTTTGCAGAGACTGTAGTCAGTATCATGCCTCTTTCTTGGACCAGTTTCTGGGATTTAGAATTTTTAAACCTCTCTGCTCCTGCAAAATAAGGACAAACCAAGTTCAATTATTCTGTACGGTTTCTGGATACAGTGCACTCAGTCTCTGTGTGTCAGAGCTCTGCCTGACATACACATTTGGAGGATTTAGTTAAGGTCACCTCAGATAGTAAAACCCAAGGATGTTTTTAAAGCAATTTCAAGTTTACCTAGAAATAATGTTCTGAGCATACTCACAAAATATTTAACCATTTACATGTATAGAAAGTTCTTTCTTCCTCATTTTACCTGTCTACAGTTAGACTAAGTAGCAGAATTAACTACACAAGTAAGAAAATAAGAATTTACTGGTATTTTCACAGGAATGATAACACATCAATTAGCACTTTTTACGCAATCTTGAAAGATATGTAAACAAATGTTAATTTACCTTTTAATTCTTGACTTCAGTCTATTCAGTTATTGGGGGCGAGTGATGCAGGGAGAAATCAGAACTAAACTAGAGAGTGTTAATTGATTTACTTGTATGAGATAACTTTACTTGTTTGATATATGATACAGAAGCCCAAGGAGAAATAGCTCTATTAAAAGGTTTAAATGTTTTTAAAGCCTGAAGTTGGAACTATTCAGAGAAGATGGAAGGCAAAATATAATATTTTAAGAAAATACAGCCTCATTTAATGACAAATTTTTCAGATAAGAAATGCCACTGCTCATTAGAACAAATAATAAAAAATAGAAAAGCATACTAGCTCAAGGAGATGATTATTTTTTAGTATGTTATCTTGGTAGGATTCTTGATTTATTTCTCAGGAAATATATTGACAAGCACACTCTGTAATTGATTGCATGTCCCAGAAAACATTTCCTGCCAGAAAATCTTAAGAATTTATTGATGTTAAGAATGTCATTTTTGATCAGAAAGGACAGTTGTTATGTAAGGGAGTCTATCAGATTAAAGAAACAGCTGTGGTTGTTACCAGATTATTGAGAAAGCTCTGGTTTAGAAAGCATGATTTTCTTTAACAGTACCTAAGCCAAGGATGAACTAAAATAGTCACAGAAATACAGAAAACAACCAGATAGGAAGAAAAAAAAGTTAACATCCCCTTCTGTGTGCAAACTTCAAAAAGATAAGAGGGAAAATTACTTTCTCCTTCATTTTCTGTATGGTAGGACACAAAAATCTTGTTAAATAAAATACATAAACACTATTTATATGAAATCATATTAACTATCATGAAATAAGCATCTGATGTATATCCAAGAATCCCGAAACTTTCTCTGACTACAATTTTTAACAGGAGATCCTCAAAATTCTGAGGCTTATTCTATACAGGAACATAACTCTCTTTTCATAATTTTAAGCTTACTCCTCAGAATTGCAATTTAGGCACAGAAATGATGCATGACATTTCAAAAATATGCCGGCTTGTGATTTTTGAATAATGTGTCCTTCCTAAGGCATGCCTTAGTCTCTCTGAAATGTTAAGGGACTGTCAGTAGTTAGCACACTGTGGCAAATGATGACACTGCATTACTCAGGTACTCAACAGAAAAAAGATCTATAGCTTCCATTCGACAGCATCCCTTCATTCTCTGTGTGCTACAGAGGTAAGAACTCGCCAATAATAGTAGAAGATAATTAGAAATAGCTCAAAAAAGCAATCGTAGGTTTTTGCAACTCCTATCTTTGTCCCTTCTAAAGACAGTCTTTCAAAACAGGCACAATGGGGGCTGCCTAGATGGCCTCTTCTAGGCAGGGCTGAGGGACTTGCGTCTTTTTAGTCTGGAGAAGAGCAGGCTGATCAACACCTGTAAATACTTAATGGGGGGGTGTCAAGAGGAACGGACCAGTCTGTTTTCAGTGGTGCCCCGTGACAGGACAAGAGGAAATGGGCACAAACTTACACATAAGAAATTCTATCAAAACATGAAGAGGAAATTCTTCACTTTGAGAGTGGCAAAGCACTGGAACAGACTACCCACAGAGGTGGTGGAGTCTCCGTCTCTGGAGATGTTCAAAACCCACCTGGACAAGTTCCTGTGCAACTTGCTGTAGGAGAATCTGCTTTGGCAGGGGGGTTGGACTACATGATCACCAGAGGTCCCTTCCAGCCCGATCTCGTTCTGTGATACTGATCACAGTTTCCAAATGAAACAACACCTGTGAGTATGTGTTTGCCTCCAGCTGGTTTTCTCTGACTCTCAGTGCTGTTTTGCTAATCTTGTATGGATCCCTTATGGGTTTTTTTTCCCTGTTAGTACAGTTGCATACCACTTCTTTTTCTCATTACCTTGTGTATGAAAAATTTCTTTTAACCAGAACAAATGCATCTGCAGCACCTGTTCTCAACCACACTTCCAAGTGTTCTTGCAGTTTGATGACAAAAAGGTGTGAGGGATATGTTTCATGCCCAGAGACAAGCACAGTTGAAGAGGAAAATGACAAAAACATGATCTACTGCCTGTAACTAGTAAACCATAGAGCCTTCCTTGCATGTTGACACTCCATTTCACATAACAAATTAATATAGGCTGCAACAGGAATTTTCTAAAACGTTCTGTATACAACAACTTTTCTGCTATCATATTTTGTGTTATTTCTAAAGCTTTACCATCAGCAAATACAAGGGGCATGCTTAGTTTTGAGTTCATACACCTCCAAAGAACACGTTTTTGAAAAGTCATATCAACATTTAAAAACTCCAGCTATTAGTATTTATATATTTACTTCATTTGGCAACACCATAAGACATAAGGATTATGCTTTCCCTTTTGATTGTCTTTATGACGAATTTTCACCTGAAGACTCACCAGTGTTTTCTACAGTTGACGTTAAAATAGAAGAAATCCTGAATACAACACAAAATCTGATACCTAGTGAAAAAGACTTGTGAAAGCATATTGATGAATAATTTGGACACAATTTGCTTGAGATTAGAGCCATAAATAATTTGGATGCATGCTCAACCTCATCATTGCAATAAGCCCTTGCCTGAGGTGAAGAGATACACTAATACTAGTAATAATATATAATTACCTGTGAATAGGTAGGTTTTTCATTGAGCACCCTCGTTGGCACCCTCATTACATATTACAGTACCACTATAGTCACGATTTTTTCCAAGTGCCCAGAAGCCATCCTTTGATTGTTGAATTTTGGGTTGTTTGGTTTTATTAAAAAAAAAAACTGAAGAAAGTAACAGTCACAGGTATTCACTGACCATTTAGGCACAATATCTAGAGTTTATATTAATGAAAAATCAGAAAATTTAATTTTATTTCCTTGAAATAAGGAAAAAGAACAGTGTCCTTGCTTTACATACATTGTTTTCAACTGCTAAATACCAGAAGAGATTTTTTTCTTGCTGACAAGACAATCTATTTGATTACTGTAAAAATCTGCAAAGTGAATATATTTCAGTCTGCATGATACCCTTGTTCTGCTTTCAAGCAAGGAAGTTAAAACAACAGACAAGCAAAAGAAGTTCATTAGAAGTAAGATACATTGCTATGCCTAATGGTGAAGAGCAATGTAATTTCTGCATGAAGGAATAGCTAATAGCTAAGAAAAGCATAACAAGAAAACCAATGGTGAAAAAACTACCAAAGGCTTAAAAATGTGATTAGATTAATTATCCAAAAGACAGATTATAAAACCAAGCATATACAAACATATGGCAATCTTTTATCTCAGAAAGCAGTTAAGAATCTAACAGAAAAAGATTCTTTAATAAAATACCTGGTCTTTCAAAATTTTGGCCCAATGAAAAATACAAAAGCATAATTATTTTTTTTTCTCTTCTGCAAATCTGATTTTTATTTGAGCCACAAATAAGTTAATAATATGAATTTTTTTCAAAAAAGTTGGTCATGAGTTTCAGGAAAAGAGGTGATAGTCTCATTCCAAGGGACTTTGAACATCCTTCACACATCTATTAAATAGTAGCCACACATTCCATAGTTGGTGAGTTTGCGTTTTTTTGACACTACCTAATACAGGTAAAGAAAATCACTACGAAAAAATGGATTTTATAGGATTCCAGGTCACTCTATTACTATTGTGGCTTTTTTTCAGATGAGCATGCGTTTTTTTCTCTTACCATTCAAAATAATAGCTATTTAATAACTTCTTTTGTGTTCCAGAGAAAGTGCACACTAAGAAAATTAAGTGCTAAAGTCTGCACCATTTTATTTTAGACCAAAAGTATAAATTCTGCTTAAACAACCTACCAGGTCTTTATTAATAATATATAATAATTTATAATAATATAAGTTTTATAATAATTAATAGTATTTCTATTAATAACTAACATGAACACAAACACAGAAATGCCAGAAAAAAGTCTGTTTAGGACAGAGTGCCACTATATTAAGTGCTATATAAACATAGCAGAAAATCTGAAACTTCTGCACATTTATCATTTGCTATTATAAAAGGGAATAAGGTGAAGAAAATCACATGCACTATTTAACAGCATAAGGGGACTCCAGCACCAGAGACGGATATATTAGGGGAAGCTGGAAAAGTTAAGGGGCTGAGGAAGTGGCCACAATATACATAAGAAGTGAAAATAGGAAAAAATATTATGCAGAAAATCCTATTTGATCAGAGAATGATTTCCTGGCTACTGATGTAAATCCCATTGCCTAGAGTATAAAGACTTGTCCCAAACAAATACTAGAAAATATTTGGGAAGAACAGCCTTACTTTTACCAGCCATGATATTAACCCAGTAATTTACAACTAATACTGTCTTCCAAGAAACCAAACTAACTTTCAAACCAAACAGATTTTCTTTAAAAACATTTGACAAAACTAAAACCACATGAAATGTACTGGTTTCATATGCTAATTCATTTTGGAAAACAAAAAACTTTTAAAAAGCTTAAGAGTTATGTGGAAGTTTTAAACAGGGGCACACAACCGGTTTCCCTTTTTAAGAACCACCAGATGGAACATTCAGGACTGACTGATTACTCTAGCTGGGAGGTATTACATTTTACTACACTTGAAAGAAAATCTTACTCTTCAGTAGTCTTGTCATTAAGACCAAAGATTCACTGACAATCTCTTGAAAGAAACACATATATTATACAGACATTACCTGTTTTTTTTTCTTTCATTTCTAATGTACAAAGGAGATAAAGTCTGCAACTTGTGAATTCTCAACCTGACTAACTTACCAAGCTCTTTCCTTTATAAGACTACGTTAAGTCCTTCAAGTTTGCTAGAAAACTAAATACAGTTTTAAATGCCCAAGATAAACGGAAAGAGTTCTTTCTTAACTGAGATACTAGCAATTCATTCAAATAAAAGGCATTAAAACCTACAAGACAGTAATAACAAATTCTTCATGTGTCTCATCTAAAATTAAGGGTTCCTCAACAGCACAGGCTGGAAATAAAAAGGCACAGTAATAACATGAATTTTCATGACATACCAACATTACCTTGCCAGATGACAGAACAACTATAATTGGATATTTGCAAGGCATTGTTTGGCTGCAGAACAAAGAACTCACGTATACACCATGTCCTTTATCTCGCAGTATCTGTGAGTATTTGCAAAATACTGTGATGTGGGCATTTGTAATCCATTCTAGGCTAACAAAACAGAGAACTCAAAAGATTTGTCCTGGCTGTCAAAACAATACATTCAACAACAACACTAATGTAAAAATGTGTTCGGTATCTTAAGTATAATTTCTCCCAGATAACAGCATAAGAAAAAACCTTCAGGATGTAATAGTTTGCTATGTATGGAAATACGATAGATGGAGCTATACATGGTGTGGATCCTTTCTTCCATTTTCTCTGGAAACATACATTAATTCTGCAATTCCATTTTTTAATAATTAAGGAAACAAATTCCTTACCATATTTTGGTTGATCTTGTGCCTGAAACACGTGATGTAGACAACATATGGCCAGTCATTGGGTTCCATCAGCACTCCTGCAGCATGGGCACAGGTAACATGGAAAGAGGCTGGGCAGCATCCATATGAACACTGAATGCAGGCACCAGAGATTTTCTTAATTCTCTGCCTGCAGAACATACATTTCTGTGGAAGCAAAATAAACAGAATATTTACCATACTACCCCAACTCCATTGACTTCTGCAAGTATCTCAAGGACTGAAAAGTTACTTTTGCTTCACTAATTACATTTTATACCTTGCAATATGCATGGCAAAAGAACTAGCATTTATAAATTACAAGGCAACTTTGTAATATGGTAGTTATTAGATAGCATATTTGCCTTTTTTATGTTAATGTGAGGATGATCTATTCTGGTGGGATAGTAAGAAAACTGATATATAGATAGCTATTTAAAAGTTTAATTTCAAATTCCATACGCTCCTCTGAAAATTAACCTGCTCCTCCTAAAATGGGTAAATTAAAAAACCTATACATAATTCTGCAAAAAGTAAGAGCAAGACTCAAAAATAAAGAGAATAGGCTCACAGAGATGTAGGGATAGGCAGGACTGCCACATATCATTTAACCTAGCCCCCTACTTTGAAGCTGGACTACATATGTTCTTAGTCTTTGGGAGATGTTTAATCTAACATGTTCATGAAGTGGTTTCTACAACATCCTTGGATAAACCGTTACAGTGGATAAATCTCACAGCTAGAAATGTTTTCTTTTTACCAATCCTTTGTGTAATTCCACACCTGAAGGCTTTTCCTAAACCCCTTTTCATTTTTCCAATCTGGTTTTCACTGTATTTAATATAATGGTGATTGAATAGGCTGTATTTCCCCACTTCATATCTTAAAACATCATGTCTACAGCCTTACAAATGTCAAGACATATCACTTTTTTCCTTTTGACAAAATGGAGACCACATCAAAATATTGTCACTATTTTGCATGTGACTAAGTAACTGGCCCGTATGAAACAAATGAAAGGACATGAACTAGGTTAACTAAGTCCAGGAAATAAGCTCCACCGTACTAAAAAAGACAAAGCACAAGATGATTGGTACCTTTGCAGCAAAAGACATTAACAAATAGATAGATAGAATAATCCCTTTAGTAACATCTATGGACAACTGTGTTACACCACATATGGGAGCTATCCTCTGATAACTTTCATCATGGCTAACAAAACTGCAAATGTTATTAACAATCATAAAATTATCTCAGCTATTCTATATACAGACATTTTATTTAATGACACAAAACAGTGAATTCAATAATTTCAAAACATACTGCTGAAATAGTGATTACTTCTATTTGTTCTAAATTTGCTAGCCACTGATTTTGTAAAAGACCCTCTTATCTGCCTATGCTGGGAACACAAGTAAGAATAATTTTGATTTATTTTTACTTTATGGTTAATAATTCAAAGTATTTCAAATTAACTCACATCAAATCCTTCTTATCAGGTTACCAGAGAATTTTGTTCTACTGTTTATTAGTTTCCACATTCTGAAGAAAATCTACAGAAATTTTGTTGTATAATTCAGCACTTACATAGTTTCAATGGCTTCTGGCACTCAGTTTGTGTCTGAAACAATGCTTTTTACACATGCTAGCCCTGTTAAGTTCATCAGTCATGCAGGGTTCTAGTTCACACATCATTCTGAACATGAAAAGCTTGTCAAGTTCTGCCTTCATATCCACCCTCTGAAAGCCAACAGCCTGCATGGCTTTGCACAAGCACTGGCATCTGGAACTTCATTAAAAATTTTACCTATCATACACTAAAAGGATCAGAACTCAACTCAAGTCACTGTAGCAGCATCAGGTCTGAAAGACTAGTAAGAGGTAAAGATGATTTCGCCATCAAAAGAAACATTCCAGAGACTTCAGTGATATGCTTATATCTCATTGTGCATTTGCATCCATGTGCAGGAAGCCATTTTCAGATAAGTCAAGTAACTGTTTCTTGAGAGAGCTTAAGGACTTTGTTATATATACATATTCCAAATCCACTAAAAAAGTGAATTCTAGAAAGAAAATACAATTGAAATCTGTTACATGTAATGTCCAGGCACTGAGATCATGCAAATAAACAGCTCCTTTTGAAAGCTTTTTCACACAGCTATACACAGAAATTCACCAGTCTATTTAATGAAAGAAAAAAGACTGAAGTATTAAACATGTCTGAGTATTAAAAAGACACCAAGCCCCCACCCTAAAGAAAGGCTGTGCGTTCTGACTAAAACACTCCAAAAAACTCCTCAGTTTTACCATGAGTCCCAAACTTAGCCATGAATTTTGGAAAGTACACGTATGCACAAATAAAAGTCCAGTGTACAAGAAAATTCAGATTACGTAACGGTATGGCCCCATCCAGAGATATGAGAAAAAGCTCCTTCATCTTTGAAAACATGTTGAGCAGTTAATCTACCATATTTGATTAATACATTCAGAATACATAGAAGTAGAACAAACTATAAAAATCTGCTTTGCATAGACTTCTGGAACCTTAGCTGAGCTACATACCAAGCTGTATATTAGCTATGAGCAGTAAATTGAACTGTGCCGTCTCTGATCCATACTGGCAATTCTTTCCCTCCCTAGCTTCTAACTAATAATGTATTTCTCATACCCTCACTTGGGGCTTTAAAGCATATGTATTTAAATTATTTTTTCACACTTTTTTCCCCCACGTTATTATTATTTTTTATAGTAAGGCAATAGATGAAAAAAAAAATATGATGATATACATTTTTTTGTTCTCCTTTAAAAAAAAAAAAATTAAAAAAATCACTGAAAGTGACCAAAGTAAAAAAGCATCAAAATTATGAGAAGAGAGTGAATCACCATTGTGAAGACTGAGGTTTCATTCTCCCTCCCAATCTTGCTAGAAGTCTGATTTTTGTAAGTTTGTAAAATGAAGGAATTGTATAGAATTGAACCAGTCTTGAACCACTCCTGCCGAGGATAGAATATAAACACCTCTTTGTCTGGGCAAATCTTATATTTACCTATATAAGTTTGCTACCTGTGAAATTAAACAAGCTTGACATAACATGAACACATTTACTGAAATACAATCAAGCTAATTCAACACCCAACTGACAGCTTTTCAGTAGCCTAAAATTACAGCTGTTCCTACCAGCTAAAGTGAATTCAACATGGGGAATAGCTAGGAAGAATGTCATTTTGACTTAATGCTTGCTAGATACTAGTGCAAAGCACAGACAATGGGTAAAGTAGCCGAGGATCAATTTTAATCATAGATTCAGATGCAAAATGAATTGGAGAATAAATAAAATTGTTTATATAACTGGAGATTAAAAATATAGGACAGAACAACATACTGCAATTTTATTGATGGTGAAATGACCTCTTTCTGAATCCAAAATTGAAAATATTCTGCTGCAGATGGATTTCATAATCATGGAATAGCTCTTTAATATTAATAGATTGCAAATATATAAACAGAATGGATTTTAAGGAATGAGTCTTAGAAAACTGGATGCCAGTATTTTGCAGAAGAAAGCCCACTGATAGCTTTCATAATAACTTCCATGCATCCTTACATAAAGAATTTGATATTGCTTCTCTCAAAAAGAGTAGTATTTACAAAAACAAATTCCAGTCCCTAACAGGATCATGATTGAAACACAGTTTCTGACGCAAGGATTTATTAAAATAAGCACAGGGTGAGGTTGTGGCAGAAAGCAGGGGATAGATTTTAGAAAACAATTTGGAGTACTGATTTCTCTCAAAAGTATTTCTATACCTCGGCAAGGAGAATGACTTATGTGAAGAGGCTCACTATAGTAAGGCATTAAATGCTACAAAACGAAAGTAGTTCAAGAGAGCCTCTAAAAATTACTCAATTTCCAAATATTACTAAAAATCAATACTTAAGAGCTTTTCTTCTACTGTTGCAGATGGTTATTAACTACTACCCGGTAACTAAATTGTATATTCTTACCCTCTTCTGTATATTTTGCATTTTTGGCCTTCTATGTATCCTCAGAAATAAACACTAAGACAGTGATAATGCTGTAACATTTAGCAAATTAATGAAAAATCATGAGGAATTTTTTTTTTCCTATCAGATCTGCTTTAGCCTCCCCTGCATTTTGCGATGAATCTGCTTTGCTTCAGAATTTATATTACCAGACAAGTAATATTGCTGTTGTGTATGATCACACTCTAGATATGAAATGTTGGTCCTACTGTAACCAATAGTAAAATACCCATTAATTGTAACAGAGCAAAGATTTCACAGAGAATGTTGATAGAAGCAGCTTCACCAGCTTATCAACTGTTATAACTTGAGACATACAGTATAAAATGCACAGTGAAACTAATCTTTTCTTTCTCCAGTCCAAAGCCATAACATGGATTAGAAGTGAGAAAAGATTACAGTCTAGTCATACTGCAAGAGTTGGTTGCAAGGTACTGGCACAAAGATTTGTTAACGATGCACAACGCAATGAGAAGATACATACTACAAAGACATTTGACACATTATCTGCAGATCAGTGAGCGCATGTTGTCTGCACAACCTTTCAGAATACAAAGTCAGCACTTAATTTTGTCAGAGAGCATAGTGTGTTTCTATGGAAACAAGCTCATTACTTTTTTTCATTTTATGCTTCCTTTTATTCCTGATTAATCTAAACCAAGCTGAATATTTCAGCTATGAAACTGATACAGCTTAGAATCAGAACATGTGAGGAAAAAGAGTTTCTTAGATCATCTATTCCACTTCTTTGTTCAGTGTGTTTAGACAATTCTATAAAATGAACCAATATTGTTGTTAGGTAAAGTATCAAGAGAATACTTGGCATCCCTCTGGTATTTCAGACATAACAGCCAGTACCTCAGGGGCAGAAAAAAGCCCAATGCTTGTAGAAAATTATTTGCAATTTCCTACTACTCAGTAAGTCTGTCTACAGCATGGGGCTATGGCAAATTAAAGATGGCAGACATTATCTAGATGTAGGTGAAATACTGTTAATCATCTATTCCAGTAGAGAAGTAAAGATAAAACTTATGCATCAGTAGCAATTTGAAACAGTAATCTTATTTTCTAACCACTCTGAAATAATGTAGTTTTGGATCTACTCTTAAAGACTGGACTCACA